GACCTGTTACGACACAATCAGGGCAACGCAAATGTTTGTAAATCGATCAGCTAGAACTTCCGATTATCAATTTTTTGTGTGATGCTTTTGTAAAGAATGACAAACCGGTCCGTCGGATCAAACGAGCCAATAAATCAACTTGGACCTATCGCGAGTTATTGTACGTAATTTATTCCTCCCATCTCTCACAATGACAATAAACTCTAACTCCTCCCGTAGTTACCTCCTGTTTATTTCGTGAAAAGTAAAAAGTTTAAACTGTTTAAATTGTATGAATTGACAAAGAGTTATGACATTTCACATTTTTTGCATAAAGCGAAAATTATCTCCAAGTGATTTGACAAAGTGTCAGACAGAACATTTTTCACTTATACATGAAGGAGTGTTGTGTCGGCCGCTAACGGCCACATTTGATAAGATGGTGTTGATAAGTTGACTGATCTGCCATGACGGTTATAGTTCTACTATTATAACTGCATTTCGACATGCCAGTAATCCGAGATGACTTGAAATGCGAATTTCAGGAAGCCTCCTTCCAAAGCCTCAATTCGACAAATCAGACAATATTTACAAATTAACCGTGGAAACGTTCAGATTCCAAGATCAAGAGAGCGGTTTCTCCACGACTCTTCAGGACTGTCTGAATCATGCGCAATCCCACAAATACATGTCAGTAGCATTTCAACTACAGAATACTGGTGAGGATAATTCATTTAAATAATTTTGTTTAGTAATAATACTTTTTTTCGCGATCTAACAAAACTATCCAATAAGAAACTATGGAAAGAAACTTAAATAATAGAATGTAAAATAAAGCAAAAAAACAATGCGAAAATATATACTTAGCATCGTACGTTTCAGGCCATCATGAGATATACAACATGAGCATGCTGATTTCCAACCTTTTATTCAAGAAATCTAAGAGAGGCGAATTATCAGCAAAGTATTCAGTATTATTCAACAGCGATGTGGACCTTAAAAGCATCACAGAGTTCGGAGGTATGGATTGAATGAAGGATAGAAACGCTTTCGAGTTACATTATCTGGTAAATTACAGGATAAAAAAAAACTGGTAGATAATTTCCAGTACACTAGATAAATACCGATACAATTACCTAGAATACTGGTATACCACATAGTAACTATTCCGAGCAGAACACCTGTTTTTTTTTTATTATTTGTACTTTGTGGGTTGCCGTGTAAATCTTTCCTTTGTTTATATTTTGCTCTAGTTTCATCAAATTTTGGAAAGAATAAACATTCTGCTGAGATATCGGAAAATTTCCCCTGTTGTTTTTGTTAGGGACGAGATAAGGTAATTAAGGTAATTTTGGTAATTTTATAAATGACTTAAGCTTGAGTTCTAAATATAGTTTTGATCCTTCGGATAATGAAGACGGTAGTTAGTAAATAAGAGACAAGGTTAAGGTTATCATGATCAATTTACATTTATCATTTCTATAATCATGAAATAAAAAACCAGGAAACAAAATTCACAGTATATATTTGTAAATGAAATACTTTTAATTGTAGGGAGCCAGTCCCAATTCAAGCGGAAATGTAGATACACTGAACATTACATGAAGAAAGGCATGGTTGTGTCCGTTAAGGCAAAAAACAGAAAGACATATGAACAAATACGTCGTGAAATTGAGGAAAATGTTGATGTTATCACTTCCTCCAGTTCACGGCGGCACCAGTACTTACAGTTATAGAACGCGTGTTATGTATAGTATTTCTTAAAAAGTATAGAAACAATTGTAGAAATGTAAGCATACACTATGAGTAGTAGAGAAACCAATATGTTTTGTAGAAATGACAGTGATGCCGTGAAGGTAACACAAGGACTACCTTCAGCAGAAAATGTATCGAAATGTGTTAGAAAATATTCTCAGCTGAAATAACGCTCAAGACTCGTATAGTCTCTATGGGAAAGATGTTGACAGAGTCGAGGTAAAACAGCAACTGCCTGTGGTAGAATTTCGAGACATGTATAAAAAGGAACTCTTCATGAGACAAAACCTTTGTCTTCTGAAGATATAAAGCTATTGTTGGGGAGGTGGATAAGCGATTATCTTCTGAAGAATAATTCGTAGAAATTAAGCATACCGTTGTATTTATCAACCATACATAAGAATTATCTCAGCATTAGAAATTAACCGTACGTTGTCAGTTCCTGTGATGCTGAACATCATTATGAACACGACATTTTCATACTGCTTTGCTCTATCATTAAGGGGGCATTGGCGTTCACCAGAAGAAGGCCTTTTGTAATTCATGGCGGTGGCGTCAGTTACGTTGTTTTGCGTCAAGTGTACGAAGTTGATTTAAAGATATGGTGTTTTCATGTCGCAGCTGAATCTATAATCAAAGTCCTGTTTTTCATATCACGAATTTCGTGCCAGATATCGTCAACACCGGGTTTTCAAGAGATACAGGTTCATGACAATTATGTTTTACGGTAGTGAACACTGGACGTGTTACTTTCACATGTAAACCTTGGTCAAACCAGGAAAATAATGTCACGTACTCAAACAAGAATACGGTATACCACAATTAAGCATACAGACAAATCAAATGCATCAAACCCGGTCAGCTTCATATCGCACAAAGAAATAGAATACTTCCCAATGAGACTACTATGATGAACGTAAAACTTAACCATAATTTTCATCAACCTGCACCTTTTGAACCCTGTGTTACGGGTTTGTCCGCCAGTTGGACGAGAATCGTGATACTGGGTAAAAGTCTTTGAACATCGACTCAACTGCGACATGCAAACATCATAGGTTGGGGATACAGGAATATTGATATCCAGAAATAGAAAATTCACAAAAGGAAAATAGAAATCATCACGTTAACTGTACAGCTTGGTGGAAAGCTGTCCGTGTTGGTTTCGTTGTAGGAAAAGATTGAGATAAGCGGCTGATGAAGAAGAGTGTGTCGTGTCGTCGAAATCCAATTCTGGTTTGTATATAAAATGGACATGGTCAATGCATTTTAATGGCTGGAGACATTTTTTTAACCAAAGGAAATTCTAAAATTATAATTATTATATCCGGCATTGTACTGATATTCGCAATTGTATACTATTTTTCGTCTGACTAAAGACGCATATTACAAACGACGGTGCTGGATAAAATGGAATATGAGGGATCTTTACCTGACCAGACCCACTCTGTCTTTGTCACCATTGTCATAATTTAGTGAACAAAAATGGTCGTACATAAATGCTTGTAAAGCACAAAGCTCTGGTTCAATGACAATGGTATTGGAACGTAATATTGGATATTTAGTCAACATCCGTGTATTTAGCGTTTATCATGTGACAGGCTATATTCTGAGTTAAATCTGTTTTTTTTTTCAGAATTTCTACTGTATGAAATCTAATATAATCTGTGCACTTGAGAACGTGAATAGCCTTGTTATAAAACTGTTACAAGTAATTATTAACCCTCTGAAAGATCCTTTCAGTGAAGCTTTTTCCAAGAACGACAATTCATTTTTACAGATTATTGCCATATCATTGAACAGCTCATTGTTTGTCAATTATGTTACCTTCTTTTCATCTGATTTGTATGAACAATTAACTTCAAGGGAGTTGTAACAAAACTTCAAAGCGGAAGCTATGCATTATCAATGCTTACACATGTAGTTGAGATTTTTTTTACTTTTTTCTATTCGCGACGGATTTACAAAGGCAAGGTATAATTTGAAAATAGCGAAAAAAATTATGATTAATGAACACAAACTTAGATGAAGATAAGGAACACAAAATCAAAAAAGCACATCTTATATCTGTTATACAATTCAAATTGTTTTTTGAAAGTCTTCGTCTTTTAACTTTCCAAATACCAAATATTTCTAAAATTAGTCTTTAAGAAGCTCTCCGCCAACACTCACAATGCAGATACAAAACCAACATGTTTTAAAACATTTTTATTGATAAACGTAAAGATAATTTATTACCAACGTAAATATGAAGTATTCTTTAATAATATATCATATTACTACTCATATTATCTACTAACGGTGCGGGAGATTTATGGCTTCTAAAACTCATCTCATATACGGTGTTACACTTATGACCTTAACATACCATAAAATGATATACCTTATTGTGTATCGGGAATTTTTTGCATGAATTTAGTTTTTCAAATTAACGACCCATTCAAAATAGCAAACAAATTAAAATAACCAAATTTGTTTGCCTCTTTTTGTAAATGCATTAGTAATACATCTATAGAATTGACATATCTTTGTGCCCCTGAACACTTTGTAGTTGTGAATACTTCTATGCTTAATATTACCTGTTAATGTTAGAAACTACTCTGATAAATATATAAGCTATGTCCTTGAAATACGCAAAATTCCAAAACGATTTCCGCAAAAATATCCCGATATACCGTTATTCCTTGAAGATATTTTTTTTGTTATGTGTGATAAATTTCTTGAAATTCATGCATTTTTTGTATAATAAATTTAAGAAGATCAGCATCAAAACGGCAATATTTGCTAATTTCTAAGTTAAAATGACATCACATTACATAAAATATCACAGGTAATAACTGGACGGAAACATGCAATACAGAAAATGTGATCAACAGATTGATCAATCTAAACAATACATGTATATAACTATTTTTTTGTTATAAAAGTTATTGAAACTTTGAATTTATGATGTATAATCTCATAAAGTGAGTGTTACCACTTTGTATTTGTACAATATGGATACAAACTTGGCGGTGTTCTTTTTGATAAATTTAGATGGAAAACACAGGAGGCAGTGCTTACGTTTTTTTTTTCGTAAGAGCAATTAATATTTTATCATAATTATTCTTTCGTCACTTATTTTGTTAATTTAGATGTAGCCTATGACTAACGGTCACACAACATTGATATAATCTAAATGGCTATCTATAATCTCAATCGTTGTCATGGCATATATCGCGTCCACCACTTAAACTCGTGGTTGTAGTATTGCAGTTAATGACTTCATATTATGCTGCATTCCATACCACGCGCTGTGCCCATGTTCCTCCACTCCTGAAGAAGAGCCCTTTGTATGTGGCTGAAAAATATCAAACAAATATAAAAAAAATAATTACGTCTCATATGAAACATAATGATTACAGAAATAAATAAAGAAATGACAATATTTGTTTTTCAAAAATTGTTACATCTCTGATATAGACTACTCGACCATATATGTACATAGCCCATAACAAGCATATCTTACTTGAGCATTCATTTCATGAGTTGAATGAAAGGAACCAAAAAATGTTAAAATGTGAATTTAAATTACAAAAATAAAAATACGTATTATAAATGAATGTATCTGTACCACATATGAAACTTAAGACCCTTTTATATCACATTACATATAAGTGTATTTATTTTATAGATATAATATAAAGCCACCATGCCGCGTGTTGAGTGTTCAGTTTTTTTATCACACAGAGAAATAGAGCATTTCTCAATGACAACATCATCACAACATATTTGTGTCATATTTCCCCATAATTTTCATCAACATGCATCTTTTGAAACCACATGTTAAGAGCATGTCCATCAGTTGGCCAAAAATCTTGATAACATATAGGTTGGGGATGCAGGAATTTTGGAAGCTATGAATGGAACTTTTCACAATAGGAAAGTTTAAATAATCATGTTTATCAGACAGTTCGGTGGAAAGCTGTCCATGTTGGTTGCATTTCGGAAAAAGATTGATTTTCAATTCTAGTGGGCATACATAAAACATCAAGAAAACATCAACATGGCATAATAATACAATAACTCCATAAAAAGAACTAGAAGAATAAATCCAGGTGTTCTTGAAAAGTAAGCGTCTTCTGCTTCATCGACGACACCCGTCATGTAAACCTTGGTCGATCCTAGTAAGTAATTTTACGTTCTCAAATGAGAACAAGGTATACAACAACGAACCAACAGGTAAACTAACGAGCACCAAATATGTCGAGCTTCATTTCGAACAAAGAAATAGAATATTTCTCAATAAGACCACTATTGCGACCATAAACTTGCCCCATAATTTTCATCAAACTGCATCTTTTGGACCCTTGTGTTACGAGTTTGTCAGTCCGTTGTCAGTCTTGCATGGGAATCGTGATAATTCGAACAGACCCTTCAATATCGTATTAACTTTTGCATGGAAATACCATTAGGTTGGAGATGTAGGATATTGCTATGCAGAAATGGAAAATTCACTATAGGGAAATTGAAATCATCACGTTTTCATAAAGTTTGATTGAAAGCTGTCCATATTGGTTTCGTTGTAGGAAAAGATCGAGATAAGCAGCTGATGTCGAAGAGTCTGTCGTATCTTTGATTTCCAATTCTGTTGAATATATACGATGGACGTAGTCAATAAATTTCTTGTTATTTAAAGACGTCATCAATATATCTGAAGGTAAAAGTATATGGCTTAGCTAGGTATTTGTGGCCTGTTTTGATAACTTCTTCGATAAAATTCAGCCTCGTATGAAAACAAAAGCAAGTTAGTCAACAGAAGGGCGTAGTTTGTTCCCATAGGTATGGTAATACCATGGCAAAAGATCTATTTTTATGCGATAATTTTTATGATTTTATCCTATGTATAACAACCATATATATATATACCGCAGTTCACTTCTTGGAGTCTTCAAAATCCACATTCTATTAATTCCACATCTTGAGTGAATAATATCACAATAAGACTGTAACCTTGATTTGATAGTACTTAGAATGGTGGTTAGTAGTTTAAACAAAGGATTGGTTGAAAAGTTGGACGAGCCAGCTTTAAATGTTGTTAAATGGAATCTTGTGAAGTTTAGGAATCCAGTATAAACGGAGAGGTCCATATCCTTATGATTGATAGGCAATCTAAATGGTTGTAATACCGAAGCTAGTATTTCGCCTTTGAAAGATTATGTATAACATTAGCATTATATATAAGAGGAGTTTTCTTCGCTATCAAGCAAGCCAAGTTCTTCTTGTATTCAGGAAATGTAATAACATTTGCAGACAAAGATCAAGTTATTGGACGCCTTATCTGCAGGCACAATACGATATCTGTCATGTAAATCTTCAAGTGTAGATTTAGCATCAGGATCGAGGAAAGCTGACCTGTGTTTTGTTGTCATTTTCGATTTCAAGTTGCAAATTATTTTACAAAAGATGGACCGAATGGACTTAACCCACTCAGAAAGTTAGACATGGTAAAGAATATCGTGTTATTTAAAGGCAGCACGTCATCATATTTCAAAGTTAAATAAAAGGACATGGCAAAGTTTTTGTGACATATATCAATAAGCTCTTCAATATAATTCAGTCTCGTATAAGTCTGTTAAATATAACTCACTTCATACCATGGAAAACGTCAATAGTATACTATTATATAATATGCATGTAAATTTATTTTTAGTTGTCGTTAGTATTTTTATGGTTGTTGTTTACCTTGTTCTCAATGGAAATGTATTATGACTTACTTATCTTGATTAAGACTAACATGGCGCCATCATCTGTAGACAATAGAAATACAATGCTGTACATTTGTTATCTATGTATAACAGATACACGATATCTGTCGACGTTGGCACCTACCTCCCCAATCTCCTAGTTGGTAATTTGCATGTGGCTCAGCAGAATTGAACTCGTCATTGGATTGCCAGCCGATCGGTTTGGAGAATAAAAACTGACCATTGTCTTTCCCATTGTCTCTAGACGTGAAGTAGGTATCTAGACTAACCGTGTCCCAGTCATCGCCGTCATTCATACTCATCAGCATTGTTCTCTTGTTCGTGTGCCAGGCATACAGTCGATCCATTGTCTTATCGTAGCCATGGAGACACCCAACTACATCCGGCAAACCTTATGAAACCAAGAAGAAAAACTTATAATTTAAACAAAAATACAATACACATGGAGTTTTAGAGAGCTTAATTTTGAAAATATTTATTTGTAATAGATACAAGTCTGTATTTCAATATTAATAATTTCCTGAACATCTCATGTCATTTTAATGATATTCATTACTGATTTTTATCATCGTTATAACATTTACATGACGTAAATTGTTACCCTCATATTTTTATTACAATAATGACTTAATATCAATAACATATTGTGATAATTCATGCACTAACGTGTCCACGTCTGGCCATCATTCGAGCGAGCACAGTTGATCTGCATTTCACCAATCAGTGATTCATCTCTGAAAGATAAAGTTTAACTGATCCAAAAGAGCCGGATACTTGACCAATGCATTCCGAGAAGAATGATACTTAAACATTAAAAACGACAGGTGGCTTATTTTTAATTAGAACTTAATTATAATTCTTTAATTTTATTGTCATATAACGAGAAACTTTCAAGCTAGAGCGATACGGCTACCACGCGTTTTAATGTGTACTTGTGTAGTAATTACGTAGATTTTAAATAAAAACAACTATGTACACTTTTAACATCCTATACAATTTCTTATCACACAACATACGTGACATCACACGTAAAAGATGGATTAGTTAACTCACGTAGCTGGCGTAGCGTCGCAAAAAAGTAGAGACGAAGTCTTTGTGTTGAGAGCCATGCTTCGGTAGTGAAACTCTATATTGAGCAAAGAGAGAGTGATCTTATATCACAATTCAAAGTGGAATTAACGTTACAAGTGCTTCTTCAAAATGACCATGAAGATATGCTTGTCTTACATTTATTTGAATCAAAAGTATCGGGGCAAATATTGTTTCCAAATGTCAAAACATTAATCCTTCTAGTACATACAAATTAACATAGCTGAATAGGATATTAAAGAGTTATTAATTATTCGTAAACACACTATATCACCGAACCAATCCTATCTATACCTACAAGTGTTTTCAAATACGAACACCAATATCAAATTCGTGATATTTTAAATCAAAACAGACATATCAAACTTATGCTTTGGTTGTTTGTGAATGTGAAGAAATGGATCATTTATAGTGAATGTATTCAAATGATGTTTGTATCCGCATAAATGATATTATCTGGTTTCTAATCAACAAGCACACACAAGTCACATGATGAATACCTGGTTCTGTTGGCTGATGTTTCGTTACAATATCACAGATTTCTGGAACCAAGAATAAATTATAATTAAACACGCACTCAAATAACACTGTAACTACAATATATACATACACTCAGCTCAATTCTTTATAGTAAATATACGTACCATCAGCACTTTACCCTTTTAGTTTACACTAACGTAAGGTAGATTTACGTAATAAAGCCACATTTCCATATAGGTCTTCAATCATTTACGTACCAAATCATATTTTAAAATCAACGTATCTTTAGAAAATCTATCTACACTATATAAATATACATGACCTCTGATGTACGTTATCTAGACCAGAGTGGCAGTCATGCACGACTCCGGAAAACCAACAGCCAGGCAATAGACCCTAAAAGCCTAACCGAGCAATAAATAAATTCAAAGTTTAAACATTCGTTACAGCTTAATATGTTTTTCGTGTTCATTTCCATCAAAATTGGACATTTTAATTTCACCTTCGATTTCGAAAAAAAAAAATTATCTCCAACAAATCGTGACAAGGTCATCAATATTAACATTAAGTTTCATTCCAATCTGACAAGGAGCTTCCTTGGGATGACAACAAAAAGTAAGAAACGGAACAGTAACAACATGTCCTCACGACTTCGGCGGCTTGATTATTGATATGATTATATCAATAACCTTGACGACTTTACAACAACTGATCCGAGTACATATTGACTTCACTAGATGATCTGACAATAAGGGGGCATTGTACAATGCTTACTTGCCGAATTTGTTACTATTAAATTCCAATGCATCTCTGTTCGTCGAGATCACTATTTGCTTAAAATGATACATCATGCACCAGAGCATATGCGAGTTTGAAAGAGTCAGTATTGCAAAGCTTCTAAACGACTCGGAAATACTCCAAAAATTATCGGCTACTTTTCCTTAATCAGCAAGCTATTTGTAGGTTAGCTTGTTATAGACTGTGGAGCAAACAGTCGAAACAATTACGGTACCGTATCATATTGTTTTAAATAAGGAAAAAGATTTTGGCTTGGAGTTCAAAGCTGAGCAGGGACACTTTTTATCGATTTATTTTTCATTTTGTTTCAGTTGTAACGATTTCAATTTTTCTTGGGAGTAATATTTGTTTTACTATGAAACTGGGGAATACTAAATCATTTACCGTTAAGTCGTTTCCTAGCACATAGTTTTTTTTTCATCACGACCTCTGTATCATGGCCTTTGGCCAACATAAGGATACTTTCAAGAATATTATCATTTCTTAGACGAAGAAGAAGAAGAAACGGGGATGGAACAAGTCTCCCACTCGTTAGGGAGAATCAAATGTAAATTCAAACGTACATTTCATTGTCACTCTAGGCTTATTTATGGCCAATCTGTGCACTACGTCAACGTGGTACTGTAATATTTAGATGAAGATGGATAGAATTGCCTTGCTACTGGAATATTTCTGACAAGATATACCATGAAAAATTATCATGGAAGAAGTCATAATGTATCAATCTCACCTTGGGATGATATGTCACTCGACCTGGTACACCCTATAAACTCGACTTTCAGTCCGAGCAAGGCGGGTAATATTCCCGCATTATCTGACAAGAGGTAGATTCGGATATATCTGGCTGGAGTAGGTCTACCTGGTTCCACCGTGATTTCGTCATTGGCAGCAAACATCCCGCTAACATCGATCTAAAAATATGGTAGTCGTTGAAAAGATATAGAATCTTGTTTATGAAGGCTTTTTACTTTTGTGAAACAACAGTATTTGTAGAAGACACATGCTTACTATAAATAATGTATATAAACGGTATCAAGTGATTCCGGAATAGGTAATACAATCATAAGTTACCACGGCAGATAACTTCCCAGTTGCCTTCATGTTAATGATTAGGTTTTGATAATAGATACTAGACAAATAAATAAATCGACTGTTGTTACAAGGACTGCAATAAAAATATACTGTGGTCATGGAATTGGACGTATCGTGTACATCGCCAACTCATTGCTCCGGTGATGTGTACTTACGATTTCGGCCCTTTCATATGCTTTGTCGTCATTGCTATAATCCAGTGCGATAGAGGTAACGACATGAGGGAACAGGGTGGTATTTCCTCGTTCTATGATTATTTTTGCCACAAGTGTGACGTTTCCAAAGCAAACTTGGAGGTACCGTAATGGTGAAAGAAGTACTGAATGACTGAATGGTGACCAAGCTATATAAAACAGAATTAATATTGTATGTAAGTCTCATTGTGATTCCAGAATACTCTATTGATATAGAGCGTATTCAATGTGCTAAGTGTGTGTGATAGTATACATGTAACTACAACATAACATCATGCACATGACTTTTTCAGCATATTTAGGAAGTTTTGCGATGAATGATGTTGTTAACATTGTTTTCATTAAGGAGCATGGCATAGATTTGATAAGCAAGGATTTTCATGTCAAGTGTCGCTGGTGAGGCATAAGACGCGTTCTCTTCCAAAACACCTGGTCTTATTTAAAGTCTGCCCTAGTTTGATCTATTTTGAGTTAGAAATAATATTCTGTTGACATTTTGGTATGTGTTTTGATTTTTTAAAAGTGTATTCCTGTCAAAGATAAATGCTTGAGCTGCACTGTAATACTATGATCAAATCATATCTGACTTTGATTCTGATATACATTGGGTTGGGATTGTTGGGGACAAGCTCCTGCCGACGACTGTAGTTGTCGTAAGTTGAAGTGATCTGATATTAACACGAACTCGAATTAGGTATTAAAGTTACCATCTAATCATGCATTTATCATACGTTATACCTATATTGATACTCCTTTTTAATTCCTATTAGCAATATTTTGAATTATCGTTTCAATGAAATATTTGGTACACACGTACCTGAACTTCCCTTGTACCGACTATGTATAGCAGGGTGTTGAGGATCATCCTCGACAGATGAGGCGATCTGGCAATCCTTGATAAGGCCCGTCTCCATTCCGAGGACAGTGTTACAGGCTGCATGCAAACACGCACAATTCGTAAAATATACAAATAAATTTATGCATTTTTGATTCACAATAGCTCATCTTAATTTATACAGAATAATTACATCTTCCCTAATAGTGTTTAAACACCAAGTTACTGTGAATATACAATATGTTGAGGATATTTAATAGTTTCCCGGTCATAATGGTAAATATGGCGTATGTTTGGCAGAATATCTACCGCCCATCACATGAAACATCAGTATCGTGCTATAAGAATGATATATGGGTGATTTTCAACAGGAAACGATTAAATGTTACATTTAATACATAATCATTAATTATATTAAGGAGAAGAAATTGTGTCAAAGGGCGTAAATCACTATCATTTCTTTGCATCGCATTACCTTGCAACTGACATAATGACAATGTTTTTTTTTTCAAAAACGACTGTTTTATCGATCTTGTCGGAAAGTTACCAAATAGTAACTTAAATACAGTGTAAGCAATAAAGATTAAAACATGACTATTTAGCTTTCGCTTCAACCTTATCTATCTGCACTAAAAATAGAACATCAGGTGGTTTCAATTCAGCAAATAGAAGACATAGTTCATATTGGTCATAAAAAGTATATCGCACCAGTACCAACATCTGAAATGATAAGTTTCTTACGGCAATGCTTGTGTATTTCCCCTTGAATCATGTCAGCGAAATAATCTCCTTTTTCGAACCTGTTATATTTCTAATCACTACACACCCAATATCTAGCTTAAGATTATGCTTTGGAGTTTGTGTCGACTAAAAACAGCACGATGCCGTGTTATCGTGTTTGCACGTACGTAGTGGTGTGTGTGGCAATACCTAAATTGAAGATTGTCACATGACCCGTTAAATAATATTAACGTTTACAAGAGCCAGATAAAAAAAATCCAGTAAGTAAGGTAATATTATACGGAAACCTAACTGAAAACTGCAGGGCCATAATTTGCCTTCAAATTTTATTCAGCTATTCGAAATAGTAATAAAGTGAAAGTAAAGATATTTTGCGACCTAAAACGTGACATCACTCAAGTTCTATGCACTCGCATGTTGATCAAGGGACGTTTATAATGACATTAAATGCTTTATTTAGGCCTGTATTCATATCCGAAGGTTTCTACCGACGCGGTAGTGATAGGCCGGAAGTTATGCAAATAATTCATGAAGAAAGACAGGTGCATTTCCGTTAAAATTTTAAAAACCGTCGACATTGTGTGCCGAGTTATTATGAAACCTACAGAATATCAGCTTTTAATTGTACACTTACCATCGTCTTGTGTGACCTTGGCGCTGAAGTTCAGATACTGTGTATCGGTAGATAAGAAAGAATTACTCGGTAAGGAGCTACCAGACCTCTGATAGACATTACTGCCTGCCTCTAACAAAATGATGGTGTTATCTGGAATAATGTCTAATGGAACTTCCACTGAGTTATTACTCTCCAGTAACACTGTAAAATCCACTGCATTACAGAGGAGAAGGTTTCCAAACTGTAAAATACAAATAACAAAATTAACTCTGGATCAACTATCAAAACATACAACAGCATGTCTCCAAAATATAAATAAAGGGACGCCAACACCACTGTCTAGATCTCATATCAACAGGACAGTTCTTTAAATACAACAGTTTGTTTACGAATATACAATAATAACTCGGCTATCAAACAGAGATGTTCGCTGAATGCAACATACGGTCATCAATATCATTAACAGCTTAATCCTCTAACAGTGTAACATATTTTCTTCATCTATAAATATAAGCGCTTCTAAACAACGGCGTATAATCCCTGGAAATGACGGTACCTATAATAAGATACCAAATAATCTTGATTTATTATTTCCAGACCGATGTCAATACGCCAACCTAACGGTACATATATTTGAAATATTAAGATATCGGCATTTATAAAGTGTTTAATGTAAGTACATGAATTTTTATACATCATATTAAAAAAATAGAAGGAAAGATGTTTTACAAGGTATTAATCACATAAAAGTTATGAAATATTCTATTCATATGCTTATGAAATAACGATATAGCCACTTTACTTACAAAATTTGTGCTAAATTTACCCGTACGTTGATGAATCCTGGTTCTTTTGTTAGCTCCGCTGGTGTAATATTAGTCCGTGTCAAGTTTGAGAAGTAAAGATAGGGAGGTAGGAACATCAAGAAGGAAGCATTGACAGCCGTTCCCGACGACGTATTGGTGTGACCTAACACGACATCTACGAAGATTTGAGAACTGAAACATATGTAGTCTGTAAACTGATACAGAGTATATAAAGTCTGTAAACTATATCTGTAAACTGACAGAGTATATATGTGTAAACTGATACAGAGTATATAAAGTCTGTAAACTGATACAGAGTATATATAGTCTGTAAACTGATACAGAGTATATATAGTCTGTAAACTGATACAGAAGATATAAAGTCTGTAAACTGATACAGAGTATATATAGTCTGTAAACTGATACAGAGTATATGTAGTCTGTAAACTGATACAGAGTATATAAAGTCTGTAAACTGATACAGAGTATATATAGTCTGTAAACTGATACAGAGTATATATAGTCTGTAAACTGATACAGAAGATATAAAGTCTGTAAACTGATACAGAGTATATAAAGTCTGTAAACTGTATAATTCAGAGTATATAAAGTCTACAGAGTATATGTAGTCTGTAAACTGATACTGATTATATATAGTCTGTAAACTGATACAGAGTATATAAAGTCTGTAAACTGATACAGAGTATATAAAGTCTGTAAACTGATACAGAGTATATAAAGTCTGTAAACTGATACAGAGTATATAAAGTCTGTAAACTGATACAGAGTATATAAAGTCTGTAAACTGATACAGAGTATATAAAGTCTGTAAACTGATACAGAGTATATAAAGTCTGTAAACTGATACAGAGTATATAAAGTCTGTAAACTGATACAGAGTATATAAAAACTGTACTATATAAAGTCTGTAAACTGATACAGAGTATATAAAGTCTGTAAACTGATACAGATATAAAGTATATATAAGTCTGTAAACTGATACAGAGTATATAAAGTCTGTAAACTGATACAGAGTATATAAAGTCTGTAAACTGATACAGAGTATATAAAGTCTGTAAACTGATACAGAGTATATAAAGTCTGTAAACTGATACAGAGTATATAAAGTCTGTAAACTGATACAGAGTATATAAAGTCTGTAAACTGATACAGAGTATATAAAGTCTGTAAACTGATACAGAGTATATAAAGTCTGTAAACTGATACAGAGTATATAAAGTCTGTAAACTGATATGGAGTATATAAAGTCTGTAAACTGATACAGAGTATATAAAGTCTGTAAACTGATACAGAGTATATAAAGTCTGTAAACTGATACAGAGTATATAAAGTCTGTAAACTGATACAGAGTATATAAAGTCTGTAAACTGATACAGAGTATATAAAGTCTATAAACTGATACAGAGTATGTAGTCTGTAAACTGATACAGAGTATATGTAGTCTGTAAACTGATACAGAGTATATAAAGTCTGTAAACTGATACAGAGTATATATAGTCTGTAAACTGATACAGAGTATATATAGTCTGTAAACTGATACAGAGTATATAAAGTCTGTAAACTGATACAGAGTATATAAAGTCTGTAAACTGATACAGAGTGTATATAGTCTGTAAACTGATACAGAAGTATATATAGTCTGTAAACTGATACAGAGTATATAAAACTGTCTGTAAACTGATACAGAGTATATAAAGTCTGTAAACTGATACAGAGTATAAAGTCTGTATATACAGAGTATATAAAGTCTGTAAACTGATACAGAGTATATAAAGTCTGTAAACTGATACAGAGTATATATAGTCTGTAAACTGATACAGAGTAAATAGAGTCTGTAAACTGATACAGAAGATATATAGTCTGTAAACTGATACAGAGTAAATAGAGTCTGTAAACTGATACAGAGTATATAAAGTCTGTAAACTGATACAGAGTATATAAAGTCTGTAAACTGATACAGAGTATATAAAGTCTGTAAACTGATACAGAGTATATAAAGTCTGTAAACTGATTCAGAGTATATGTAGTCTGTAAACTGATACAGAGTATATAAAGTCTGTAAACTGATACAGAGTATATAAAGTCTGTAAACTGATGCAGAGTATATGTAGTCTGTAAACTGATACAGAGTATATAAAGTCTGTAAACTGATACAGAGTATAAAAAGTCTGTAAACTGATACAGAGTATATAAAGTCTGTAAACTGATACAGAGTATATAAAGTCTGTAAACTGATACAAAGTATAAAAGTCTGTAAACTGATACAGAGTATATAAAGTATGTTAACTGATACAGAGTATATATAGTCTGTAAACTGATTCAGAGTATATGTAGTCTGTAAACTGATACAGAGTATAAAAAGTCTGTAAACTGATACAGAGTATATAAAGTCTGTTAACTGATACAGAGTATAAAAAGTCTGTAAACTGATACAGAGTATAAAAAGTCTGTAAACTGATACAGAGTATATAAAGTCTGTAAACTGATACAGAGTATATAAAGTCTGTAAACTGATACAGAGTATAAAAGTCTGTAAACTGATACAGAGTATATATAGTCTGTAAACTGATACAGAGTATATGTAGTCTGTAAACTGATACAGAGTATATAAAGTCTGTAAACTGATACAGAGTATATAAAGTCTGTAAACTGATACAGAGTATATAAAGTCTGTAAACTGATACAGAGTATATAAAGTCTGTAAACTGATACATATGTAGTCTGTAAACTGATACAGAGTATATATAAAGTATATACAGAGTATAAAAAGTCTGTAAACTGATACAGAGTATATAAAGTCTGTAAACTGATACAGAGTATATAAAGTCTGTAAACTGATACAGAATATATAAAGTCTGTAAACTGATACAGAGTATATAAAGTCTGTAAACTGATACAGAGTATATAAAGTCTGTAAACTGATACAGAGTATAAAAGTCTGTAAACTGATACAGAGTATAAAAAGTCTGTAAACTGATACAGAGTATATAAAGTCTGTAAACTGATACAGAGTATATAAAGTCTGTAAACTGATACAAAGTATATAAAGTCTGTAAACTGATACAGAGTATATAAAGTCTGTAAACTGATACAGAGTATATGTAGTCTGTAAACTGATACAGAGTATAAAATGTCTGTAAACTGATACAGAGTATATAAAGTCTGTAAACTGATACAGAGTATATTAAGTCTGTAAACTGATACAGTGTATAAAAAGTCTGTAAACTGATACAGAGTATATAAAGTCTGTAAACTGATACAGAGTATATAAAACAGAGTATATAAAGTCTGTAAACTGATACAGAGTATATAAAGTCTGTAAACTGATACAGAGTATATAAAGTCTGTAAACTGATACAGAGTATAAAAAGTCTGTAAACTGATACAGAGTATATAAAGTCTGTAAACTGATACAGAGTATATAAAGTCTGTAAACTGATACAGAGTATATAAAGTCTGTAAACTGATACAGAGTATATAAAGTCTGTAAACTGATACAGAGTATAAAAAGTCTGTAAACTGATACAGAGTATATGTAGTCTGTAAACTGATACAGAGTATATAAAGTCTGTAAACTGATACAGAGTATATAAAGTCTGTAAACTGATACAGAGTATATGTAGTCTGTAAACTGATACAGATTATATATAGTCTGTAAACTGATACAGAGTAAATAGAGTCTGTAAACTGATACAGAAGATATAAAGTCTGTAAACTGATACAGAAGATATATAGTCTGTAAACTGATACAGAGTAAATAGAGTCTGTAAACTGATACAGAGTATATAAAGTCTGTAAACTGATACAGAGTATATAAAGTCTGTAAACTGATACAGAGTATATAAAGTTTGTAAACTGATACAGAGTATATTTAGTCTGTAAACTGATACATAGTATATGTAGTCTGTAAACTGATACAGAGTATATAAAGTCTGTAAACTGATACAGAGTATATGTAGTCTGTAAACTGATACAGAGTATATAAAGTCTGTAAACTGATACAGAGTATATATAGTCTGTAAACTGATACAGAGTATATAAAGTCTGTACACTGATACAAAGTATAAAAAGTCTGTAAACTGATACAGAGTATATGTAGTCTGTAAACTGATACAGAGTATATGTAGTCTGTAAACTGATACAGAGTATATAAAGTCTGTAAACTGATACAGAGTATATAAAGTCTGTAAACTGATACAGAGTATATAAAGTCTGTAAACTGATTCAGAGTATATGTAGTCTGTAAACTGATACAGAGTATATAAAGTCTGTAAACTGATACAGAGTATATAAAGTCTGTAAACTGATACAGAGTATATAAAGTCTGTAAACTGATACAGAGTATAAAAAGTCTGTAAACTGATACAGAGTATATAAAGTCTGTAAACTGATACAGAGTATATAAAGTCTGTAAACTGATACAGAGTATATAAAGTCTGTTAACTGATACAGAGTATAAAAAGTCTGTAAACTGATACAGAGTATATGTAGTCTGTAAACTGATACAGAGTATATGTAGTCTGTAAACTGATACAGAGTATATAAAGTCTGTAAACTGATACAGAGTATATGTAGTCTGTAAACTGATACAGAGTATATGTAGTCTGTAAACTGATACAGAGTATATGTAGTCTGTAAACTGATACAGAGTATATGTAGTCTGTAAACTGATACAGAGTATATGTAGTCTGTAAACTGATACAGAGTATATAAAGTCTGTAAACTGATACAGAGTATAAAAAGTCTGTAAACTGATACAGAGTATATAAAGTCTGTAAACTGATACAGAGTATAAAAGTCTGTAAACTGATACAGAGTATATAAAGGCTGTTAACTGATATGGAGTATATGTAGTCTGTAAACTGATACAGAGTATATAAAGTCTGTAAACTGATACAGAGTATATGTGGTCTGTAAACTGATACAGAGTATATGTAGTCTGTAAACTGATACAGAGTATATGTAGTCTGTAAACTGATACAGAGTATATAAAGTCTGTAAACTGATACAGAGTATATGTAGTCTGTAAACTGATACAGAGTATATAAAGTCTGTAAACTGATACAGAGTATATGTAGTCTGTAAACTGATGCAGAGTATAAAATGTCTGTAAACTGATACAGAGTATATAAAGTCTGTAAACTGATATGGAGTATATAAAGTCTGTAAACTGATACAGAGTATATAAAGTCTGTAAACTGATACAGAGTATATAAAGTCTGTAAACTGATACAGAGTATATAAAGTCTGTAAACTGATACAGAGTATATGTAGTCTGTAAACTGATACAGAGTATATATAGTCTGTAAACTGATACAGAGTATATAAAGTCTGTAAACTGATACAGAGTATATAAAGTCTGTAAACTGATACAGAGTATATATAGTCTGTAAACTGATACAGAGTATATAAAGTCTGTAAACTGATACAGAGTATATAAAGTCTGTAAACTGATACAAAGTATAAAAAGTCTGTAAACTGATACAAAGTATAAAAAGTCTGTAAACTGATACAGAGTATATAAAGTCTGTAAACTGATACAGAGTATATAAAGTCTGTAAACTGATACAGAGTATATAAAGTCTGTAAACTGATACAGAGTATATAAAGTCTGTAAACTGATACAGAGTATAAAAAGTCTGTAAACTGATACAGAGTATATGTGGTCTGTAAACTGATACAGAGTATAAAAAGTCTGTAAACTGATACAGAGTATATAAAGTCTGTAAACTGATACAAAGTATAAAAAGTCTGTAAACTGATACAGAGTATATAAAGTCTGTAAACTGATACAGAGTATATAAAGTCTGTAAACTGATACAGAGTATAAAAAGTCTGTAAACTGATACAGAGTATATAAAGTCTGTAAACTGATACAGAGTATAAAAAGTCTGTAAAACTGATACAGAGTATAAAAAGTCTGTAAACTGATACAGAGTATATGTAGTCTGTAAACTGATACAGAGTATAAAAAGTCTGTAAACTGATACAGAATATATAAAGTCTGTAAACTGATACAGAGTATATAAAGTCTGTAAACTGATACAGAGTATATAAAGTCTGTAAACTGATACAGAGTATATAAAGTCTGTAAACTGATACAGAGTATATAAAGTCTGTAAACTGATACAGAGTATAAAAAGTCTGTAAACTGATACAGAGTATATATAGTCTGTAAACTGATACAGAGTATATAAAGTCTGTAAACTGATACAGAGTATATGTGGTATGTAAACTGATACAGAGTATATGTAGTCTGTAAACTGATACAGAGTATAAAAAGTCTGTAAACTGATACAGAGTATATAAAGTCTGTAAACTGATACAGAGTATATGTAGTCTGTAAACTGATACAGAGTATATGTAGTCTGTAAACTGATACAGAGTATATAAAGTCTGTAAACTGATACAGAGTATATAAAGTCTGTAAACTGATACAGAGTATATAAAGTCTGTAAACTGATACAGAGTATATAAAGTCTGTAAACTGATACAGAATATATAAAGTCTGTAAACTGATACAGAGTATATAAAGTCTGTAAACTGATACAGAGTATAAAAAGTCTGTAAACTGATACAGAGTATATAAAGTCTGTAAACTGATACAGAGTATATAAAGTCTGTAAACTGATACAGAGTATATAAAGTCTGTAAACTGATACAGAGTATAAAAGTCTGTAAACTGATACAGAGTATATAAAGTCTGTAAACTGATACAGAATATATAAAGTCTGTAAACTGATACAGAGTATATAAAGTCTGTAAACTGATACAGAGTATATAAAGTCTGTAAACTGATACAGAGTATATAAAGTCTGTAAACTGATACAGAGTATATAAAGTCTGTAAACTGATACAGAGTATAAAAGTCTGTAAACTGATACAGAGTATATAAAGTCTGTAAACTGATACAGAGTATATAAAGTCTGTAAACTGATACAGAGTATATGTGGTATGTAAACTGATACAGAGTATATGTAGTCTGTAAACTGATACAGAGTATATAAAGTTAAGTCTGTAAACTGATACCGGAATGCAGGAGCCAATGGAGCGAGGTCAAGGTAGATAGCAAAACTGTAACAGAATGATGAAAAATTGTGATCTAATATATACCTTAGACTAGAAATACTTGAAATTAAACAATCCAATCGTAAGGAGTTTGTACATACTCAGTTGTCAGGCTAGTGTTGACTTCTGCAGTAAACTCTAATTCCGGTTTTTCGTTGTTGTCTCGGATCACCCGTATCTTCGGCTCACAGAGAACGATGATATCGGCAACCATACCACCAAGACTGATGGGGAATTCGGCGTTGTGTTCTGCTAATTCAAAGTCTGGCAACATGATATCAACCTCCAGCAAAACACTGTTATCGCCATCTTTAAACTCTTTCTTACCGTACGACAGACCTGTACATGAAAGGGAAGGTTGAAACAAATATCAGAAATCCATTACAAGATATTTTATATAAATTACAAATTCAATTAATTATATAAAGATATATAAAGATCTAACTTACAAATCACATATTAGGTTTGTACTTCGACAAATAAATGAAAGAAGACACATCTCTAATTGAATCATTTGATGCCGTTGTGAATTAATGGGGGAAAAAACCACACACACTGATTCTGCGCTTGTTTTAGAATATGTTACAAACTAGTCTTTTCTGTTCGTCTTTGCAATATGCTTGCATCCATACCTGGGTTGGAGACGACACCTAAATCAAGAAAGCCTTGGTCGACCTGGCAAGTCTGAAGGGATGAATTTAATACCGGCGTGAAAGTCTGTCCGAGAGCTTCATCCACGTACAGGCAAGCTACATTAGTTCCGGTGCCAACCAAACGGATGTCTTTCACAAGTGCGACCACAGAATTGTTGGTGAAAGTATCGATATCGAACTTCACATGGGAAACGGATCGAGGTTTAATGTTGAAGACCACCGGCAGAGTAGTGAGCACGCCTACAGACATGTCTATGACGTTGTTGGTAAGGTTCACGTAAAGCGTTGTCTCATTCGTTTCGATTGTGTTCTGAATTAACATTATACATAAACTTTTAAAGAAAAATGATGATATCTGCGGAAAATTTCGATCATTTTGTCGTATTTCAAAGTTTTTAATTCTTTCTAAGATATACAATTGAAAAATGACCATAACGATATGTTATGTGATGTTGGTAGATAAAATATGATATTTTATTAAAGTATGGCCATTGTGATCTGAATTGTTCGATTTACAAGACTTGACAGTGACCGTACACATACTCACATTGGTCTTGGGTATGAAAGTGTCTGTCTGAATAAGATCATAACTAGACACAAATATTTCAAAATCGTTGTTGTTCACTGCAACATGGACGGTGTGAGTATCTCCGGCTAAGCTCGAAGTATTATGTAATAATTTGAAAACGCCCTCTACACGAATCTGAAATAAAAATCTAATGGTTAACTAATATGAATTATTTCCTTAAGTTTATAGTTAATGTTTCCAGTTTACTACTGTATTTCATGTACATTACAACTCTGCCACTCCCTCATACTGTTAAACAGGTCAGGTACATATAGATTATAGACAATTATCGTGCGGTTCGTTATACATATATTGTATATAGGGATAATACAAAACAACTTAACCATATAGTGGTTAATCTCGTTCATTCAATACTAGCGAAACAAAACAATAATATAAAAATGAGAGTAAGGTCCAGTTCAAATTGAACTAAGGAACTGTACAACTGGAAACTACTTGCCCTATTTGAAGCCTCATCTGTGCCCATGTATGAATTGCAGATGAATCCAAGATATAGTGTGGCGATACCATTGTAGTTGGAGCCAGGCCTGAAAATATGCCAGTAACTAGTTATAATCATAAATGAAAACAATGTCATTAAGATATGTCTGCTGTTTCATTTGTTCGGGTGTATCAAACTTTGTGTATGAAACATCATTATTCAACTTCCGCCAATTAAGTCCAAGCAGCATTTCATCGGTCTGACGATAATATCTGATGATAAAACCTGTTAACTTCGAGAGTGGTTTTACTTAGATTTCCTCCATTTATTAACATATACATATTAGTCAATATCACATACTTCGAACATTTTAAACCTTTATTAATTTTTTTATAATCACAATATCAGTATTTCTTGATCCTGACATGGAATCCAAACTTCAAGATTTAAATGCCGTGTATGTTATTTTGCCTGCTGATAAGGCGTCTAATCATTGTCTGCAGACATTATTACATTTACTGTATAAACAAGTAAGAGATCCCAGAGGGATCTTGGCGCCCATAATTGCTTGATCTTTATCTGCTCTTTTAAAGTTGGATCTTTTCCCTTTTCTCTTTTTTCTCCGTTTTTGCTTTAACAATAAAAAAATTAAACATTCCCTTGCAGAAAAAGCGATAATAATCTTAACCTGCCAAGTACAAAATGGTCGCCTGGAAGCCATTTTGTTTCTTCTGATCTGTCCGAAAACCAAACGGACACAAGTATAGACCACAGGGAACAAACATATGAAATTTGAGAGAAATTCATTCAGAAATAAGGAAAACAATCTTTACTTGGCGAAATCGAAGATGGCAGCCTGTCGGCCATTTTGTTTTTTCTGATCAGTCCAAAACTCAAACAGGCACAACTAGGGACCAAGAGGCACCTTTACATGAATCATGAGAAAGATATATGCAGCATTCCACAAGAAATAATGATATCAAACTTTCGCAGTAAAAACCCAAGAGGGTCGCCTGTAGGTCAGTTTGTCATCTAATCATACCCAAAATTACATGTGCACAACTAGTGATAAACGGAAACACAGAAACGAATTTTGAGAAAGATGTATGCTGTTGTTCTCAAGAAATAGCGATAATAAACTTTCAAAGTAAAAATCCACTCTTTGTCGGCTAATTATCACTGTTAAAAGAGAACCTGCATATGGGATTTCATATCAAGTACTTTTCAAGAACTAGCGATAACAAACTTCATTGAAAACATACAAGATGGTTAGCCATTTTGTTTTTCTCACACCAAACAGACACAACAAGGGAAAACGAGGAACCTACCTATGAAATTTGAGAAAGATATATCCAGTACCTCTCAAGAAATAGAGATAACAAAAATTGTTTACGGACGGACGAGGGACCATGGACGTAGGGGGGTTTGAATAGTCTAATGATTGTTAGCTAAAAAGAAAAAGACTTGCTTGGTAATGAAGGAAACATTCTGCAATATTTCCTGAAAAGAAATACTAGCCTATAATGCTGCAATATTACAAAACTTTAGATGGTCTATTAATCATAAGTAAACGAACCTCCTCCGCTTTGATTTGATTCCTAAACTTCTCAAGAATTAACATTAACAACGCTTTATAGATGTTCAACAAAAACATTTGTTTAAGTTAATTACCACCAAATTTAGTACTATCGAATCTTTGTTTCATTCTAATGATTTTAGAGAACACCAAAGTCAAGAGTAGCTGTGAAACTGATGAATGTTCCCCGATAATTGGACACAAAATGTCAACCAATGAGAATAATTCTGTAATTGAGGGGTTACAGACCCTGGATTTGGTATACTGTGCATTCTCCTAGTATGACCAATGTATACACCAATTTTCATGTTCCAACTTTTAATGCAAGCAAAGTTCATGAAACTCTGTATTGAGGGTTCATGGGCCCTAATTTTGCTACACTGCAACTTGCTTTTGTATAACTGATGTATACATCATGCTTCATATTGCGGACCCTAATGTTGATACTCTGCACATTGAGTGCGTATAATCAATGTATACTCGAAGATTCTTCATCTATCTACATGCAAATGAATTTATACGCTGGACAAGATATTTTAAGAGAAGGCAATAACTCCTTATTTGAGGGGTCGAGAGCCCTGAATTGGCACACAGCACATTGTCTACGTATGATCAATGTATACCCTAAGTATCGTTTAAATAAAGAAATGCTTTCGAAAGTATTGAAATAAAAATGTCAGAATCTAGATGGGGATGTACTTTAGCCCTAACAGTCCTTAATGCTATAATTTTCAAACATTGGACATTTTCTTTTCACCGGTCTACTTACCGTCTTTTCTTTTTTCCAGCCATACCACTGATGTCACCGACAAAGCTGTCACTTACCGTTTTTCAAAGACAGGATCGATTTCAGTTTGACGAAGACAAGGGAAGTTCTTGCCGACCTCAATCACGGCTGCCCCACAAATCTCCATGTACCCGGGGTCCACTAAGGGAGAGGTGAACATCTTGACGGTGTATTCGCTGGTCATTGAAGCAGGCAACGTCATGTCCAGAATCAAGCGCTTTGCTTCCCCGAACGCTACATATTCTGTATCGTTCGTGCCTATACTGGCCATATAAAAACTAAAGTTGGCGCTCTGAGTAACATTCTGTGGAATCAAAAAAGATACTTACAATGTATGCGATAACATACAAAAGAGACGAAATGTACTTATATAATATTTTATATATTTTATAATATTTTAGCTACAAATCCACATTTTAGTACACAATGAACGTTACCTTTCTTTTCTCATCATTGCAGATGAAACACACTTAAATTATGTTTCCACTTTTCGCTGACAACAAATCACAAAAATCCGGTTTAGCAGTATGACCAATATCAAAAATAAAACGTTATGAAGTGTCTCAAACCTTTTGTCTATATTTGTTTAAAATTTCCCTTTTGTTGTTACACCTTTGATGCCATTTTGTTGAAATTTCAAAAATAAAACGTTATGAAGTGTCTCAAACCTTTTGTCTAGATAACACCTCTGTTTACGTTAATAAGTGTCTCAAACCTTTTCTTGAGATAACACCTTTGTTTACGTTAAGAAGTGTCTCAAATCTTTTGTTGAGATAACACCTTTGATTTACGTTAAGAAGTGTCTCAAACCTTTTGTTGAAATTACACCTTTGATTTTTTTGGTTCTGCTTCATTAGTATTGCTTTTATCACATTATAGATGCCTTTATTTGAGTCAAACAAAAATCGGTTATTTAAAGAAACGATATGAATATGCAGCTTAAAACATGTTTGTCTTTTGCCATTTATTACTCACCCTGTCGATACTGGAGGTGTTGCTAGTAGCAGTCAATGTTTGTGTTATGGCATTGCTTTGTCCACTGGCATACGTCGCAGTGGACGTGAAGTCCAGTTGGGTACCATCAGTCACGGTTTGAGCGAGCTGCACGATAATCTCAAACAGGATTGTGTTGTCGTCATAGAAATCGTTATTGACCAGTGGAGGGTCGGGACCTGAAAACAGAGAATATGTTACAGAGGGCAGAGTACCAGGAAAGGCATAAACATATCTACATACAGGTGTGATGTAATAACGGTATGAAGTATAATGTAAGAAAACAGCATTTTGGTTTGATCCTTACCATAATCTTCGTATTTCATCCCCAATACTAGAGAAAGCCAGATTTACATGGTGACATTAATGCGTTGCCATTAAGAAACATTAGCAAAGAAATAAATATGAAAATTAATTAACGGCTTCTTTTGTCAAAACTATTTCTGGAAGGACGAAACATTAGTATGGTGCAGTTTAATTCCTTATTTTGCTATACCATTATGATGAATGTATTCTACATTATCCAAACCTTTCGTATCGCCAGACAGTCGAGTTTATGGGAAGATATGCACTTGATAAAATGCAGATTTTCTCTATTCGTTCACCACTACATGTTTCTTCTAAATGTCTTATATTTATAGACTTTTTATCTTGAAACTACATCACACAAGGTAACCATATTCGGCATGTTTAATAGGTTATTGGCATATTTGTAGTACCTACCACAATTGGTAACATAACTTGCGTTAAAAGTCGCTCTTTTATTGTCACCAGAAGGCCAAGTGTCGAATACAGGCTCGATCGTCTGATCAAGACACGGGAAGTTATCTCCAGCAGCCATTATACGCAAACCACACACAAACAGTCCGGGTGTCTGTGACTCTACAACAACCATGAGGTCGACACTATCGCCAGGCGCAACCTTCATGACGAGGCTATACACCATCGGATAACCAATGGGGGTCATGGTCAGGGTAGTGTTTTGTATCAAGCCAAGATATGGTGGCGTATTCTACAACCAATATTGAAAGTAAATGAATACAACGTAACATCGAAAAAGAATTTAAACCTCAGCATAATTGTAGAAAAGAAATGTCACAAAAACATGAATACCAAACAGCACAGCAGTATCAACACGGGTATCATATGTCGAATAAAGGATGAGGATTGAAATGTCATCAAGGGATCATTAAATATTATAGCAAAAATGAAACCATCATAAAAATACATATTCTCAGAAAGGGTCTGTTCATCACTCTGTGAGATTAACTCAAATCTGAAGTACACAATGATGAGTTTTTGGTTCTCTTTAGCTCTCATTCACTTATATATACCGTGACTGCAAAAGTGGGGACAGGTGTAACTAGGTCTTATGATAACAACTCAGTGAATACTACGAACGGTAGGTGTAATGTGTCTGTAAAAATCAATTGGAATGGATATTTCACTTACACTTCAAATTCTTCCGCGATATTGTGAACCGCGCACATTTCAATCCGTCATGTACACAATATATGATTAATGCTTACGTTCCAAATAAATACGCCTATGCCCAAGTCATGATGTCGAGTTCATAGTAGTTAAAACATTTGACTTTTGTTAGTATCGTTATAACTCAGCTTTCAGTTACTCAAACTCAAGCTGTAATAGTAATCCCGCCGAAATTTTAGATATGGACAAACCCTTCATAGATGAAAAAGAGATAGGTGACCAGCTGTATTATTCAAAACTGTACACATCATCCGATTACAGTTATGAGTCAGATGAATCTTCAGATGAGAATGATATCTTGCTTGTTCCAACAGATCGCAGTGAATGTAACACCATTCAATACATATCACAAGCGAAATTCTGCAATTACACATGTAACTGTAAATTACATAGTAGTGAACCGTGCAGTGTAAAGATTGACTTAGAACTGCTTTCAAATTCAGGGAACATTATCACAAATTAGCACGTGATGAACTCGATGTTACAATTGAGACTGAGCAGTTTGCTCATCAAACACAAGATAAACAGGAGGGAACAACCATATCAGAAGTTTTTATCTTGAAGTCCGTGTTTGTAGAACGACAGGTTTTGCTTTATTTCAAATTACAGGGAATAAGTGAATCGCAGATACCGATGGAGTGATTCCAAGAAAACTCGGAAATTCTGGAAAGGTTCCATGCACTGTCCGTCAGTGGCATACAGCATAGCAAGACATTTTTGACGAAATATGCTAAAGGCAATTAATTTCCTATTCATGGTAGACTTCCAAATTATAAATATACCCATAGCCATTTTTTACAAATTTAATACACTGGCTGTTGACATGAAGCTTCGACGATTATGTCTTCATACATTTCAGAGAATTTGGCATAATCTATGTGTATGCATCGCCGTCATGAAACCATGAACACACTTGTGCCGCTGGTGTCAAATAAAATGTGACTGGTACAGCAAATAATATAACGGAGAGGTATTAGATGAATGCAGCAACCGTGTCAACCAGGCTATATAGCAGAGAGATCTACACAGCATTGCAAAGAAAGGAATGAAGAAAAGAAAATAGCAGGTAATTAACATAGCAAAGACATCCTTAGGCCGTCCACGGTATATCTTGAATAAATTTTAGTGTATAAACAACTCCGATAGATATTAATAAAAGATCCTCCATATTGAAAGCTATACTACACTAACCATCTTGTTTGTGAATAAGGTAAATACTTATTAATACAATTATTATGTATGACATATTACAAACACTGCATCAACAATGCAATATTGTTATCAATTAATTTGAATAAATTTGTTTAAAAACATTCAAGTGCGTGGGATGAATTTAAAAAGAGGGTTGAAACTGATATTGAATAATTTGAATTTTGATTATTTCATTGTAGGTAATATGCCCTGTCCTTTGGATGGAGCTTTCCATTACTCCTGGGATTTTGCTCAGCAAATTCAATTTCCTTATCATTCTCAGTAAGTTGGCTCTATCTTCTGAAGACCACACTAAAATGCAGTGTTTTTGGAATCTGCTATGAAGGTTAAGGTAACATTCATGTATCATTTTAGTATGAATTTGGCAAACTTGAAGTACATTAACCCAAGCTGGTATGTTGTATCTTAAAAATCACTATTACTGTATTGGCATTGAGATTGATTAATAATTATAATGAATTACAATATACGCTTTATAAATCCTTGAAAGTCATACATAACACTTACTGGTCATATTGATTATGATGTCAAATTAGAAGGCTGTCATTGATTCTGCTGATGATAAAAATATTTTTTATGCAATGAAAACTTGCTATGATTTTTTTCCTACTTATCTCTACAAAGTTATGTTCCATTTATCAGGAAAGCAAGTTTTCTATTTGATGAATGATGCTGGAAACCTTGCGATAGGAAAGGGAGTTAACGCCATGGTCCATCACTATTTTCAGCATTTTCAGATCGTCAACTTCCATTTTGATGGCTGTTGTAGACAAAATAAGAACAACGTTGTGTTTTGCCCTTTGGAGTCTTACAAGGTAATTATATTGGTTGTTACGGAGTATCAGATATACTTTTATTTTAACCAGGATTCCTGTTCATTCAAGTCTGTCAAATGTCATAGGGTGACATAGAGCTGGAGCCTTTCTTAGTGTTACTTCCCACTGTGCTTATCTTCATTAGTACATATCTGTGTATGCTACATACAGTTCAATTGTGGGTATAAGGTAGATTCAGTTTCATATTCTATTAGATTTATCATCACAAATAATTGCCCTCAATTCTATGTTGATGGCAGATTTGTAAAAAATATTACGTGCATCCATTGTGTGGGTGATTAATTTCAATATCCAATACACTACATTATTTTCTTTTCTTTCTCGATTCAACATTGAATATAAAGTTCTTTTATGTTTATTTCAATAATTTGCAGGTCTTCATGTTGTCATTCAAAACTCCATGATGATTGCTAGTCATACAAAGTTTGAATCACACAGACATTTTGACGGTGGAAGTTACGCTCGAGATCCAGTAATGTTGAAACTCTAGAGGAGGTTGCCCAGAGAGTTACACATTCCTCCTGACTAAAATTCCACACTTGGTGAAAGATAAGGACAAGCCAGTAGTGTTAAGAGACCAGAAGCCATGAAGCAATATTTCAAGCTTTTGAAAAACTTGACAAAATATCGCTATTTTCTTGTTGACTCCACAAAGACAGGAACACCACAAAGACAGGAACAGAGTTTTGCAAGAAATTTAATGATTGCCCTACAGTGTCTGTAAACCTGCTGAAAAGAAAGCATTTCTTTCCCTCTGTGAATGATGAATTTGTCAGACAGCATACTTACAGAACATAGCATGCCCCAATCACACTCTAACGAAATCAGAAGCGGACCAAGAGGACAATGAGAAAGTACCAAATTTTCTATGTAAACGAAAAGGTTTGCTGTTGAGATGATGTGTGATTTCTAAGGTATCAGGAATATGCAATCTCGATACAAGCAGCATTTTGTGTCTAAAAGTTTGATAACCAAAGAGAATTTTTACCTGTTAGGAATAAATTCTTGTTTGAGTTGGCAGTTGATATGTCAGATTCTGCTGTAGTAAATTATGTTCCCTGTACTATTATTTCTATGATAATTTGCACTATTGATTGTCTCCCTTTGTTGAGTAGTACTGGTGTAAAAGCTCATCTTGTATAATCTGTCTACCATGACGAAAATTATCAAAATGGTTAATGAAGAACAATGATTGAAGTAGAAGTCCAGACAACACATATATATGAACATGTTTCTGATGTTTCAAAATTTGTTATCTTATTTGTTGATACTTATAAGCGATATGTAAATGGATTGTCTCCCTTTGATGCATACAGTATATTTTATAGTAATTATGTACTGTTGTAAGGGTTTATGAATCATACTTTAGAAAAAAATAATAGTATGACCTTTGGATATTTAAATATGCTATACCTGAGTGGGATATTGAATACAGTTACCTACAATGTCATTATTTGACTATTTTTCTGGTAAATTCAACATAAACAACATGGAATTTAAAGTGGATTTTGTCCGTGGTGGTAATACACAGATTTCTAATATTTTTATCTATATATTTCACAATGTAGGCGTTCAGAAAAAGTATAAAAGTCAATTTATGATGTTACCTCATCTGGCCCAATTTTCGCAGACATTGTCTCATATAAATATCCTTAAATGTATCACTATGCTGTAAGACTTCACATGAAAAGAAGTATTAAATTTCAGACAGCTAGGTATATGATGTTCAAATACGTACGGGTGCAACGGCGCCGCCAGAGTCAATGTTCATGCTTAACTGTCCGACCCAGATCTTTGTCGTTGAGAACATGGTTCCGGCACTGACCCGTTCTAGCGTGCTCATTTCATCGTTCTGAAGAACGGTCAGATCCACTGCTATGGAAATTTGGTCTTCTGCCACGTCGGAATATAACCCCGTGTTGCATACTCCTCCAAATGGGAGTACGGCTCGATTGTAGATACCATCGTTAAACCTTTCAACAAAAGTATGTCCATAGAAAGGAATGATATTCCTTCTTATGTTAATTTTACACATTTTTCTATACGACTTGTAAAGGAAACGAAACTGCTGTTACGATTTCCTAATTACCCTCAATCGGCTACTGATATGATAACCTTGAAACTTTGTCGGTAGTCCTACTCTACGAATTTATCTCATAAATATGAATTAAGCAAGAATATTTCCGTGTATTACGAGTGTTTCGACGAAAATAGATTATGTATACTGAAAAGGAATGCCATTTTACATAGATAGATTATAGTTATCACAAGAAGTTAAGATCAAAAGCCTTATTTAGGAGAAAAAAATATCATGAGTGTTTCGAGAGAGTTTAAATAATACCGAGCTTTAAAGCTGACAATGCTAATAAAAAACGTTCATGTTGCAAAGAAAATAACAGTGTTTTGCAGTCATCGTTTCTAAGGAAGTGGCAAACAAATTAGTCCAAGCCTTGCTTTGTCCGGATATCCTAAGTTATAAAAGGTATGCATGTTATAGCTTTCTGTCTTTTTTCTTTCAATTTACTGAACTGAGCCGCGCGTTCTGTAGGAAGCAAAGGGAGATAGTCATACTAATGCAAAACCTACCTTATACCCAGAATCTAGCTAAACGAGATCGACTTGTCACTTCTGTGTGTTCCGTGTGCGTCAGTGATACTGCCAAATTGTGCAGCGAGCTCACTGTTGCAGATGGATGGTCACTCTAAGACAGGTAATGACTTTGCATGTGTTTTACTTGTCAAGCATTTACACGATTAAGATTGAGAAATCATTCACAGATACTCGTATCCATGTTATGCATGTTGGCAAGCGTTTTAGTGACATTTGTCATGTCTAATGTTTAGTGAACATATATGTGTATGTGACGAGGGTAAGTACTGACTGACTTAAACATCATCAGATGAATGGACTCCAAATGCAATGTTATCTAGTTTGCCAAATTGCATGCATTTTATTGGCTTGTATGCCGGTAGTCATTTCGAGGCAAGGCTTGATTTAAAATGTGTCACTCCCTTAGATACAATTAACGGAATATATCGTTATCCAGAGTGAGCATACAAAAACAGTTTCTGATCCTATCAGCTTTAATGATTTGGATATCCGACTTTTTTCTGATGAGTTTGGAATGAATGAAGAAGAATTGTGAACAAACATGTCCAAAACACGGGCAGTGTTACTTTTTCTATTAGCTAAAATACTTTTTCATAAAAATCTTGAAATTTGTTATTTAAATGTGAATGGATCATCAAACACGCAGTATTCGAGCCATTTCTACTTACTTTGATGTGTAGGTGACCATTTTGTTGAACCAGTGAGGTGTAACACAAGGCACGCTTTTTCCCGCCGACAGGACTTTTGATCGACACACTTTAAACTTGGAGGAGACATTGCCACTGGGCATAATGAACTCGACATCAAACTTTTCATAAGTGCTGTTAGGGGTCGTGACGATATCCAGGACGACGCGTTTACTTAATCCTACAATAACAGTATCCGAGCCAATAGCATACGTCATGTTGAAGTCTGGCGACGTCACGTTCTGTGGGACATTTACAAGGTTAAAACATCATCTTAACGCAAGATTACTATAAATTCTATCTCAACATCAGACTACTCTTAAAGATAAAGTGACTCTTAAGCGCTCATTACAAACATACTCTAAAGCCCTGCCTCCCAAAACATTATCTCAATACTAGATCATTCTAAGACCCTACCGCAATACCAGGTTACTCTCAAAAGTTATCAATACAGAGTTTATTCTTAAACCGTATCTCCTTTCTAGGTTAGTTTAACACACATCCTATCTTAACACATTGTAACTCTCAAACTATACCTCAATATATTTTCATAACAAGGAAACGATCAAACACTCTCTCAATACAAGGCAACTTTAAACACTTTCATAACAAGGAAACGATAAAACACTCTCAATAAAAGGCAACTTAAAACACTTTCATAACAAGGAAACTATAAACACTTTCATAACAAGGAAACGATAAAACACTCTCAATAAAAGGCAACTTAAAACACTTTCATAACAAGGCAACTTAAAACACTTGCATAACAAGGAAACGATAAAACACTCTCAATAAAAGGCAACTTAAAACACTTTCATAACAAGGCAACTTAAAACACTTGCATAACAAGGAAACGATAAAACACTCTCAATAAAAGGCAACTTAAAACACTTGCATAACAAGGAAACGATAAAACACTCTCAATAAAAGGCAACTTAAAACACTTTCATAACAAGGCAACTTAAAACACTTGCATAACAAGGAAACGATAAAACACTCTCAATAAAAGGCAACTTAAAACACTTGCATAACAAGGAAACGATAAAACACTCTCTCAATACAAGGCAACTTTAAACACTTTCATAACAAGGAAACGATAAAACACTCTCAATAAAAGGCAAATTAAAACACTTTCATAACAAGGCAACTTAAAACACTTGCATAACAAGGAAACGATAAAACACTCTCAATAAAAGGCAACTTAAAACACTTGCATAACAAGGAAACGATAAAACACTCTCTCTATACAAGGTAACTCTAAGACCCCTTTTTGATACAGCGGTTACTCTAAAACCATCTCTCATTATATGGTAACTCTAAAACCATCTCTCATTACATGGTAACTCTAAAACCATCTCTCATTACATGGTAACTCTAAAACCATGTCTCATTACATGGTAACTCTAAAACCATCTCTCAATACAAGTTTACTCCAAACCCCTATCTCAATCCAAGGTTACTCTAAACCCCTATCTCAATCCAAGGTTACTCTAAACCCCTATCTCAATCCAAGGTTACTCCAAACCCTATCTCAATCCAAGGTTACTCTAAACCCCTATCTCAATCCAAAGTTACTCTAAACCTCTATCTCAGTCCAAGGTAACTTTAAACCCCTATCTCAATCCAAGGTTACTCTAAACCCCTATCTCAATCCAAAGTTACTCTAAACCCCTATCTCAATCCAAGGTTACTCTAAACCCCTATCTCAATCCAAGGTTACTCTAAACCCCTATCTCAATCCAAGGTTACTCTAAACCCCTATCTCAATCCAAGGTTACTCTAAACCCCTATCTCAATCCAAGGTTACTCTAAATCCCTATCTCAATCCAAGGTTACTCTAAACCCCTATCTCAATCCAAGGTTACTCTAAACCCCTATCTCAATCCAAGGTTACTCTAAACCCCTATCTCAATCCAAGGTTACTCTAAACCCCTTTCTCATGAAAAGGCAACTGTAAATCCCTATCGCAATACAAGGTTACCCTAAACCCATATCTTAATACAAGGTTAGTCTTAAATCCTATTTCATTATCAGACATTTCAATACAAGGTACTTCTGAAATCATATCTCGATAAAACGTTACTCTATCTTAGACTGCCATTAAAGTATGTTGTTACTCTTCAAAGTGCAACCAGTTAAAAAAAATAGTACCGTCCGAATGGTAACTATACAGTAACTGTTATTATTGCAGGGTTGAAAAACATTTCTCTTGTGGTAGCTACCTTCGACAAGAAACTTGATATCTGATGTGCTTATTAATTAGGTTGATATTTAAGGTATATTGGAAGTAAACTTGACAAGGTGTTACCTGATTAGGAGAACAATCTGATTTTATATGTAAATGTGTATGTTTTGAATACTTGAGAACATGCCGCCTGATTAGAAGGTAAATATTATTTGATGCCTACCGCAGTAGCAGCGCTTGTTCCGGTTACTGTAAAAGTGTGTGACGTCACTTCTGTACGTCCTGCATACGCCAGTGACACTGCAAGATCATGCTGCGAGCTCAGTGTGGCAGATGGATGGTCTAATGGTGTAAAAACGACATCCACTTTGACAGAGTTGGCTGTTGTAGAAGATGCCTCAATTGGTAGATTGGTGATGCCCCCGAGAAACATCACGCCTCTGTCAGCGTATAACCCGCTGGTAGTCCTTGCGCTGTACTCGGTAGATTTGTCCAGTGCTAAACACGGCAGGTTGTTGCCGGCCGAGTTGAGAATCACCGAACATAGTTGGAATACTGGTTCATCGCTGATAATAGGTGTTTCTACAGTCAGTTCATAAGTGGCAGTGGTATTGTAGGGTATTTCAATACTAATAGTAACCATTACCGGCTTCTTGATCTCTACATTGGAATCTATGCCTGGGTCGATGCTCACTGTCGCAGAAGGCTGAATTAATGAAAGAATGATAATTTTAGCCGCGTATGGATGATTTCAGTATTAAAATTCTCAATCTACATGAAGCTTCCTATGGACACGTCAGTTAAATAATATATTATACATTGGACATATCGGTATTTTCTTAGTTGTTTTCTATGCTCAGATGTAATGTCAAAGATGTCTTTCTGACAGGAAATAATTTGCACCTGAAATTCATGTAATTGGAATAATCTTCAAACATTATCGCAATCACCAAACCATATTCTGTCCGCCATTTAGATAAGAAAGGTAATACTATTGAACGTGTTGTTTTCTTCGTGACTCCAAAGCATTTATGCAATAACTGCTGCGGGTTTCGCTTTCTTCAAATTCATATTAAAACGAAATCGAATAATGTCATAAGTGCAATGTTGCGAAATATCCGACATGTTTTTTTAATTGAGGTTTTTTCTGATCAGTTCGTTTGCAGTTCGTGATTCATGCTACAAATCCTATTTTTTGATAATTAAATAAGTACATGTCTGGTTATATAGCGTAAATATATAAGGTATGATTTTCATAAGAGGAGAGGAGTGCAAAACACAATATCTAATTCTTGTATTGCGTATCATCGACAAATCAGCTTACCATCGACGTGTCAATATCCTCAGGAATGACTTTGAAAGAATGTGTAGCTGCCCAGATTTGACTACCGGACAGGTCCAGAGAGGCCCCAGCATCATATGATTGGTCCACATGTGACGTGTCTAGATATTTATGATAGATGACCTCAAATTCAATGACGTTGTCGTTTTGTGCATCTCGAGTGTGACGGGAGCCTGCAAATGAATAAGAGGAGCTTTTAATTTATCACTGGTTTCCATTTTCTATTGTTTCACATTAAAACACGATCAGACGAATCTTTATTACTGGTCAGCGTTATTAACTTATACTGGTTATTAAATAAACCAGTCATCAGTCACATGGTATGAATGCGTTGATCTAGATAAAAATCGTAGTACCTTCTTAAATGCACCAGTCAAATTGACGAACAAGAGGTACAGAACGTATAATTCTTTTTGTAACCATGCTTACCTTTATTAACGACCCTGCCTCCATTTATCTCCATCATAGAGTTGCCGATGCCAGTCAAAGCTGTGTACGGTGTCGTGGTTACGCCGTTGCTGTCGAAACCACAATTAAAATTCGATCCCATGCTTTTGATTTTGGCACTGCATACACTCATCACAGAGGAAGTGTTGAGGGGTGTGTAGGCAGCAAAAACAACATCCACGCTCGGGTTGGGCAGGTACAAAGAGGCCGTGTATATGATAGATGATCCGATAGGCACCTCGGACGGACCTGACCAGTCAACTGTTGGCTGTTCCGCGACAGTCTGCAAACATATCACAGACGTGTAAAATACATTCGGGACATTGAGCAAACATCACTTCTTGACATTACCAATTGGCATATAATACGATAAATTCATATATTGAGTTTGATTTATGTATATATAGATATAATCACAAAAATGATTTTTTGGAGATCAATGTATCTAAAATCACTACGACACTTCAGATCGCATAGCAGGCACCTGTCTTTTGTGAAATATAATTATTCTTGAAAGCGGCACAATGGTTTCTCACCTTGTCTTGATAAAGGTCGAAGGCAAACTGACCAATCCAGATAAATTCTTTGTTGTCGTACTCGGCACCTGCACTAACGTAATGCGTTGATCCACTCACGATCGAGGGATTTTCTATCATTATAGCGTTGTATGAAAAAACCATTTGACATTGCTCAAGCGTGTTGCATAAGCTGTTGGTGACAACTCCCACGTCAATGATAACTCGATCATACTGTCAAAATATTAATGTAAATATTACATCATAGACAAAACTTTGGTATTTCAAAGGTTTACCGTGCCTTTCTAAGATGAAAACAATGGGTTCAGACGGTGTTCAGAACGTATGAATTTTTTTTAGATAAGGACGAATATATTTTCAGCGCGTGCTGTGTCAGCAACGTGATATTATGTTTTATAATTGTGAACGCGGTAGTAAAAATATCTAAAGCAAATCAATAACTCTTTTGGGTTAATTTTATTTTAAAAAATAGTAAAGTGCGCCACTGATGGCATTTCCTGTACAAGATGGAAACACTGTTGTCTTACATTGATAGTTCCGTCCTTAGATTCGTAGGTGGGTGTTGTTGAACCTGTGTAAGATAAGGAACCTTGCCTCACTAACTGGACATCACACAAAATCATAGCGGTGTTGATGTTGTCCGGGGTGAAGAGCTCCACAACCATATCAGTACTTCCTGCTTTGAAGGAGATCGTCAGTTCTAACTGAACTACGTGCCCAATCTTTATTGGCGAGGAAGCAGAATCTGCAGTCTTAACCAACGAAAACTCGTTTTCTGCCGGTGCGGCGGCAGTCTGTAACATAAGGCAAGCGTCTTTTATAGGGACACACAGTATAACCAATTCCGACGGCAAATACTCTAGAGATTTGATGTTAATAGGACTTTTAACAATATAAAAATAAAAATAAACTAAAATCACATCCAAAAAGTAGTATCTGTTGGAAACTATCGCTTAACTCTCTTGAATGTTGTGGAGATTAACATAATTATCGAAATCAATACTGTGTCATCACACTGAAATGTCATCATCACACTGAAATGTCATCATTACACTAAAATGTCATCATCACACCAAAATGTCATCATCACATTTAAATGTCATCACACCGAAATGTCATCATCACACTGAAATGTCATCATCACACCGAAATGTCATCATCACACTGAAATGTCATCATCACACCGAAATGTCATCATCACACTAAAATGTCATCACACCGAAATGTCATCATCACACTGAAATGTCATCACACCGAAATGTCATCATCACACCGAAATGTCATCATCACACTAAAATGTCATCATCACACCGAAATGTCATCATCACACCGAAATGTCATCATCACACTGAAATGTCATCATCACACCGAAATGTCATCATCACACTGAAATATCACCATCACACTTAATGTCATCATCACACTGAAATGTCATCACACCGAAATGTCATCATCACACCGAAATGTCATCATCACACCGAAATGTCATCATCACACCGAAATGTCATCATCACACTGAAATGTCATCATCACACTAAAATGTCATCACACCGAAATGTCATCATCACACTGAAATGTCATCATCACACTGAAATGTCATCACACCGAAATGTCATCATCACACTGAAATGTCATCATCACACCGAAATGTCATCATCACACTGGAATGTCATCATCACACTGAAATGTCATCATCACACCGAAATGTCATCATCACACCGAAATGTCATCATCACACTGAAATGTCATCATCACACTGAAATGTCATCATCACACCGAAATGTCATCATCACACCGAAATGTCATCATTACACTGAAATGTCATCATGACACTGAAATGTCATCACACCGAAATGTCATCATCACACTGAAATGTCATCATCACACTGGAATGTCATCATCACACTGAAATGTCATCACACCGAAATGTCATCATCACACTGGAATGTCATCATCACACTGAAATGTCATCACACCGAAATGTCATCATCACACCGAAATGTCATCATCACACCGAAATGTCACACCGAAATGTCATCATCACACCGAAATGTCATCATCACACTGAAATGTCATCATTACACTGAAATGTCATCATCACACTGAAAGGTCATCACACCTAAATGTCATCATCACACTGAAATGTCATCATTACACTGAAATGTCATCATCACACCGAAATGTCATCATCACACCGAAATGTCATCATCACACCGAAATGTCATCATCACACCGAAATGTCATTATTACACTGAAATGTCATCATCACACTGGAATGTCATCATCACACTGGAATATCATCATCACACTGGAATGTCATCATCACACTGGAATGTCATCATCACACTAAAATGTCATCATCACACTTAAATGTCATAACATGTCCAGGACGTCCGACAACGTTTTGTTGGTTAAAGTTACCTAAAATTGTTATATACGTACCGACCGTTTAACAATATGATGGGGATCCACCGGAAGGTCAACATCCTCACTAAAACAGCAGATAAAGTTACATCACATTTAATGATTGGGCAAATTATTAGTGTTACAATCGTTATAGTGATTTTATTGAGAGATTTTCTTTTTCTTATATTACCTACTTGCATTGACCAAGATTTATATGGCGTTTGTCGTCGAGGAAGCAAAATAAGTTCACTATTTTGGAACACCTGGCCTTAGTTGCCTTGTTCTTTTTCAGGAGTATCAGTGTCAGTCTTTCCTTTGTTCGTATTTAACCCTAGTTTTATTTAATTCAAGTTTGGATTATGACTCTGTCCACATCTGTTTTTGTAATAAGATAACTATGAATTAACTGTGTTGGAAAACATCATCCTAATAACAAGTGAAGGGAATGAAGGAATGATTGCTTGTGTTTCTATGTTGACCCTTGTGTTGAATTACTACATTATAACGTTATTGAAGTCAGTTATGTATTATGAGCTCAGGAACTGTCGTCGACGTAAGAGTCTCTTTTGCTCATAGTTTAATTTGATTTGAGTTCCGATTATAATCATGTCATCATATTGGTATTTTTTTTTATTGTTGGTGTTGCAAATAACGTAAACAATGTGAGGTTTGAAAAAAATGCTGAATATAAGCATTGAGCAACTTTTATATTATGAATGTCAACTGGATATTAGAAATATGAAATAAAAATAAAATAAACACAATAACATCACTTACAACGTCAACACAAAGAGCAAAAACAAATCACTTGTAATGACCTTCAAATCCTACAAGGTCAGATCGGTCTAATTGTAAAAAATATGATATTTTCAGGTTTCTCATTAACCAGTGTGTAATTGAAAGAATGATCACATGTTTCAAATTGTTAAAATATTGTTCATTTACCCCCTGCCGATATTTTAAACATCACCTCTAAACAACAATTAATAAAAATAAATAAACCAAATGTTTATGATGGGACAGAAACTATCCATACTTTTAAATGTAAAGGACAAAGAAATAATGCCAGTAACTTAAATTATGATTTATGTAATGGTTGAATGACTCGGCAGCCTGTAGATGAAGTCATGGAAATGAAAATGTTCGATAATATGTATTTGAATGTCCCCCTATATAATGACTTTAAAGAACAACTGAATCATAGTATACCCCAAATAGGTATTAGTCGTGATGTTAATACATAAATACACTTTTGTTCTGCAACACAATTACATTATACGAATTTTAAGGGTCATGTACCCACTACACATCAAATCAGGGTGCACGTGTAGGATCCTTCGTGGGGAAATATCTGGTTAGCCTTATTGTCACAACTTTGGTATTTAGTTGACTATTTATTCTTTTTAATCCTTCCGCAACTCAGGATGAAATATTGATTAGAACCATATTTTTAGCATCAGATATTGACATACAGCTCAATAATTTCTGATGGTCTCCATCAAATATATTCAGTCTTGTATGGCGCAAACACTCAAAGCAGAACAGTTTATATGTGTATTCATCCCCTTCAAACTAGAATCGAAACTATACTCTGATAAACATACACTATACAATATCGGAGAGTTTTATGTAGATTGTCTCGCCTCATGTGGAAGTTGATTAAATGCATTTATCAAATTTTCAACAAAACCCTTTTCCCGGCATGAATGAATGGCGTCATCATGTTTTACTTAGCATAAATTTCAAGAATGGTTTAACAGACAAATTAGCAATATCTAACAATAATATACAAGAGTCGTTTTACTTACCTCTTAGAGCCTGTGGAAGCGTGAAGATAAACAAAAATACATTAGTTAATCGATAAAATTACAGTGGGATACATTTAAAATTGTCTATTGATCATCTTTGGTTTTTTCAAGAAGTGAAAAAAAAAATTAAAATTAAAAAACATTACAAAAGTACATGTCAATCTGCCTATGTGTACGTCTAGCATTTAATCAATAAATCCAACAACCAACCAGTTCTGTCCAATGATTCCATGAAGCTGATAGATACAGTGATATATTCATTCTGTTGGTGACAGATATAACTTATTACTAAACGTTTCTATTAAATGATATCTAACTAGTTTATTTCCTGTGACGAACCTCTGAGGAGGCGACAGTCATCACCATAACTTGTTCAATTGTATTATTTATTACAGCAAACGCATATTATCTTAAATCAGGTTAATATACTCTATATCAATCACAGATAAGGACTAGACTATTTTGAGTTCCCTAACATGATGACAACAAGTAACATCTCGATTCCATGGACATTTTACTTGTGTAGTCCTCCTAAGCTACGAATCAACAGCTGATATGTACGGAAGCGAATTCCAGCCACGTTGTGTTTTATTTTATCTTGAGATAGCAGCTCGAAATTTCGAGTTAGTATTCCGAAATTTTGAGTAAGTAAGTCGAACCCAAAATTTCGACTTACTAATTCAAAATTTCGGATTACTAACTCAAAATTTCGAGAGGCTATCACGAAATTTCGGGTTAATACCTCGAAATTTTGAATTAGAATAAAACACAAAGTGTCCGGAATACGCTTCCGTAGATATGCATTAATGTATATCAATTGAGTATATCACGTTATACATCAGCGTTTATTTTGATGATTTTATCTTTGAAATCCACCTAAACTACAAATCAACAGTTGAAATATTTATCTGGTAACTATCACGTAATCTTTATTATAGCCCAAATCTTTCTTATTATAGTTGAGCGGTTTACAGACTTTGTCTAATTATTTTTATTGTGCAGGGGACCTGAACAAGGAAACATTTCATTCATGAAAACCTTATTATGAGTTGTTCCTTTATCATAGCAGCAAGAACTAACGAGACCAAACTTCGAGAGATTTCTTCTCTCTACTCCAACAATACACCAATCCAGACAAACTTGTTCCTTTATCATAGCAGCAAGAACTAACGAGACCAAACTTCGAGAGATTTCTTCTCTCTACTCCAACAATACACCAATCCAGACAAACTTGTTCCTTTATCATAGCAGCAAGAACTAGCGTGACCAAACTTCGAGAGATTTCTTCTCTCTACTCCAACAATACACCAATCCAGACAAACTTGTTCCTTTATCATAGCAGCAAGAACTAGCGTGACCAAACTTCGAGAGATTTCTTCTCTCTACTCCAACAATACACCAATCCAGACAAACTTGTTCCTTTATCATAGCAGCAAGAAATAGCGTGACCAAACTTCGAGAGATTTCTTCTCTCTACTCCAACAATACACCAATCCAGACAAACTTGTTCCTTTATCATAGCAGCAAGAACTAGCGTGACCAAACTTCGAGAGATTTCTTCTCTCTACTCCAACAATACA